ATGTTTGATAGTTGTATTGCGGGCAATGGCTTGTCTCGCAGGTGCAAAAGACTTCTGCTACTTTTGGGACTACTACTGAGTGAGCTTACGGCCGAATGAGCTCCGTTGAACCCAAACCTGCCTGCTTTACTATAAGTAAGTTGGTTCAGCCGCAGTCAGATGGCCAAACATGAGGACACTACCTTCGCCCACGAAAGCCTTCATGAATTCTTTCCATAAATTATACCTGCAGGAACATACGTTTCATAGTTCTTTATCTACGTTTTACAGCCTTCGAAAATCTTCTTATTGCTTTCATTGCAAAGTGCACCTTTACGGCAGTGTCGCGGCAGAATCAAGTTTATGTAGAAATAACAATAGTGAGGTAGCAGACTTACCTGTTGGTGTCTTAAACATTTTACATCTGGTTCTTGTCCTGTCTGCAAAGAAAATCACATCTGAATCGGCGCAGACCCAGTTTGAAAAACGCATTCGGATGACTCATTTTACTTATTGTGCGCCGGACCACCACAATTGTACTGGACATTCTAATCGTAAAAATTATTGGCGGCAGTGTTTTCGTGACAAGAATCCCGACCATCCATTTCGGTTGAATCCCGAATTCGGGTTTCAGTTGACGAAAAGATCCGAGATATGCAGAAAGATTAAAGTGTAATATCTGCTGGGACAGTGCCCTAAAGCGAACTAAGCGCAAATGTTCAATTTTGGCGGGCGTTCATTGTGCTTGCATTATCCTTTCAATCGCCTTTCAAACGTTAATTTTGGTTTTAGGTACCCCCTTTGCCTACTTTTTGGTAGACAGATGCAGGCGTCAGCGCAAGCATATATAAATAGCTTTAAAACTTTTAGATGACCAGTAAATCTGACTGGTTTAGCGCTGGATTGTACTCTTTATATGCCTTCCTCCTGCTCGCACAATGATTTGCTTTCAAATTCACGATTAATGGTGTTTAAGTTAATACTAATTAAGTATGAACGATAACCATTTTAAAAGTGATACCAATGACTTTCCAGCAGAACACAAACGAGTAAATGCAGAGGTTTATTTGATGGACATGTTACGACTTGGTAGCTCCCATGAAAGCAAATGACCTACATATTAAGTCATTCCGAAAGTCTCTTCGTTTTTTCAACAGATCATGAAAACGCGGGTAAGAAAGGAAGGCAGACTTCTCTAACAAACAAACATGTTCTTGTGCTATTTACTTTCGTCATACTAATACATATACTAGGTGAAAATTTGAAGCTATGGTCTTTAGCATGTCCAACTTTGGTCGTTTTTCAAAATCTTCATTTTGAACTTTCGAAAAAGCTTTGATAAAAATTAGATAGCGTAAGCAAAGCGTAATGCAAGGCAATTTTTTGGCATCTTCAACAGCCTTCTCAGTATTTTTTTAAAATTAGTTTTCCAAAAGTCTTCATTGTGAAGTCGCAGAATACAGGCGCTCCAAACACTAATAAACATCAGATGAAACTCTCAAAAACTGGCTATGACTATACAGTGTCCCAAAAGTATGTATACACAGGTTTTTGAATTGTTTAAGCTTACCAAGGTGGTATAGAACTTAATAAAATGGCTGACGCGTTTCGGCGATTTATCGCCTTCTTCAGAGCGCTGTAACGAAACTTTAGCCGCGACAATTAAAGACTCACGGCGGTCGCCACTGTCCAAGTTGAAGCGCCAGTATGGAACGCAAACCTCTTCCGTATTGTAGGTACATAGATGACTGTTTGATAGTATGCCCCACTCAGTGCGAAATGGACACTTGTTTTGATCTTTCAAATCGGCAGTACTCACAAATCCAATTCACAAGAGAGAGACCCAAGGATGACTGGCTTGCATTCTGAACGTGCAGGTGAGAATTGCTAATGGGGAATTTAAGACAAGATGGTATCGCAAACCTAGTTGCAAAAATATCTTAGTGCACTACACTTCGGCACATCCGCGCTGGGTTAAGAATTCTGTTATAAAAAACATGTACAAAACAGCATCGCAAGTCTCATCTGGACCCCAAGAACGCATCCAGCCTTTGGAAATGGCGGACAATGTAGCAAGTAGTAATGGGTACCTTCTACAAAAATTCCACAAATCCCGACGTTCTGCTGCTAGACGGACAAGTTTCGAGGATCAAAAGATTTCGTTCTGCCTACCCTTTATTTCAGATAGAATAATTTGGGAGGTTCGCAAAAGCTTAGTTCAAGCAGGATTGCAATATATGGTAAGGGTGGTAGAAAGGGTGGTAGAAATACCTCCACCAAATCTCAAGCAGCAATTAGTACGCAATCGCTCTTATGATCGTCTCTGCATGACTAATGCTTGCCCAATTTGTCCGTATGGTAAACAGGGAGATTGTATGGTATCCGGCGTTGTTTACCAAATAGTATGTAATGCTTGCGGGGCAACTTACATAGGAGAAACAGGACGTCCACTAATTTCTCGCGTCAAAGAACATCTGGATGGTCTACAAAAGTCCAAAATCTCCACTCCACTAGGGGCTCATCGTATAGAATGTCATCGAAACACCACCATAGAAGTCGCCGCATCAATTTTAGTGCAAGAATCTGAAATTCTAGCGCGTAAAACCCTTGAAGGTTTCTATATCTCCGCCCGTTCTCCCCAAATGAATAGAAAGGATGACAGTATAGCCATGATCTTACATTATCAGCGTCTTGGGGACTATAAATAGACAGCGGAGGAGGGTCACGTCAGTTTACTCGGCTCCGCTATCTCAGGATAGTGGACAGTGGCGACCACCGCGAGTCTTTAATTGTCGCGGTTAAACTTTCGTTACAGCGCTCTGAAGAAGGCGATAAATCGCCGAAACGCGTCAGCCATTTTATTAAGTTCTATACCACCTTGGTAAGCTTAAACAATTCAAAAACTAATCGTATATTAAAATGCCAAGGTTAATTAACAGTCGGATTTTGTTCAATATGTATACACTGTTTAATCGTTTATATCTCTTTTCCCAAGTCTTTTGCTTACCTCTAAGCACCATTTTGTAGAGCCAGTTTCAGCTTAGATTTGCAGTATGCAGCGAGTCACGGATCGTTCTTCACTACCGTAAGATTACGGTAGGAACTTTCAGCTTATAGCGTCATTACGGACTTACCGTGTTTCAAAAAAAGTTTTCAAAAAATCTGAAAAGTGATGTACTAGGGTTTTTAAGCTTGCTGATTTTATGATTCAACTTTTTACGCGTTTCCAAAGCTTTTAAAATGGTGTAATCACGATTTCATGGAGTCCTGTAAAAACAGCTATCGCGGTCTACCTGGCATAACTTAAAAGGGAAACATTGCGGTTGAGTGCAAACATCATATTTGGTTGTAGTGGCTTCAGTTGGCCTAGCATGAAAGTTTTCTGGTTGTTCGGCTTGCGCTGAGGCGAAATAAGGGCCTTGATGGCTCCCAATTTTTCTTGAATTTTCTACCGTATTCCTACAGTAATGAGGAACGACCGGTGATTTGCTCCATACCGTAAATTTCTTGGGGAAAGAGATATCAACGATCAAACAATGTATACCTACCTTTGGGACACCCTGTATATCAACTATACAAAACAAGTGAGCTCTTTCCGCGTCGAGATATCAAATTTCGCATTTTACGGGTACAGCATGGGGCGGTTTCACAATTGAGAATTATGATAATTGTATAAGTGTATACGAAGTGTATATGAATCGGAAAAGAAAATCGCCTGTTAGAAAGAGGGGAAAAAACTGCATCGAACGGCATCGAGTTGCTTGCTGGCTGATGTTCTGCGAGGTTTGGCTTAACCATATTCGTAATGAACATCAAAAAAAAAGTCCTGGTAATCTTTAAAAGCCAGCGGGAATGAGAATAAAATTCATAGTGTTGTTTATTTGAACTAGCTGCTATCAAAACTCCTCCATATTTCAAAGTAAAGTACTGAAAAAAATGCCAAATCTTAGTGTAGTAGAGACCATATGTTCTACATTTCTGCAAATATCTTTCATCACAAAAGCAAACGGTAGCTGAGCACTACTGCTGGAAAAAGGAGGAAAAGCTACATGAAATAGTTCCTAATATGCTTGCTCTCTTTATCTCACACGTTTTTATGATTGATCGAAAAAAACGGAAAGAACTTTCGGAACGATCTAATATTAGTTCGGTCAGTTGAGATATGAAAATGCTAAGCTATGTGTTATACAGGGTGTCCAAAAAATGTACTGTACCTACTGTTTGATTGTAAATAACTCTCTTGTAATGAAGTGTTTCGAGAAGCTTCAGGTACCATTTTGTAGAGCGAGGTTAAACTTAGATTCGCAGTATGGAGCGAAATCTATCACTCTTCATTACTGTAGAAATACGGTACGAATTTCGACAAGGATTTTAGGCCGTTGGAGGTCATATTCTGCCTCAGAACAAAACTAACCAAGCCATAAACTCTTATACTGTGGTAATGGAAGCCGCTGATTTCAAATTTAAAATTTCCACTTTTCTGTGATGCTTCTTTCCAAAGCTTTCCAAGGTGAATCGTAATAATCAAATTTTCAGTACTTGCCAGAAGTGTGATTATCCCGTCAAAAAAGCTGAAAACACTCTAACAAGTTGTTAGGTGGAATCAGCATGCGCAAAAACCCTATTACACAATTTTTCAGGTTTTTCTGCAAAAAATTTCGTTAGGTGGTATATTTCACATTGTTCTTACTGTAGTCCTACACTAATAAAGAGCGATCTGATTCGCTCCATATTGTAAATCTAAGTGTTACCCCGTTCCACAAAGTTGGTGACTAAAGCTTCTCGAAACATTTCATTACAAGAGAGCTATTTAAGTAGGTACATTTTTTTGGGACACCCTGTACTTTGTCCAAATTTTGTCGATGAATCTATAGCACGGTAGTACGATTAATACAAGAAATTGCACGTAAGTCGGAAAAGAACATCCCATAAATAATCCGCTCTGTCCTCCAAGTTCCGATATGAAGCCTGCCGCAGTCACTATAGGTACTTCTGAGAACTGCTCATACTAAAAAAGATGATTAATCAAGGTTGAGAATGCATATGAATACCTCCAAATCAGTAAATGACGCTTCCACTCGGAACGAGTGTTTCTTATTCTTAGAAAGATCTGAGCTGGTTCTCCAGTCCCATGCATTTTCTACACGCTCACACGCCGCAACACACTGAAAAGATAAAATCATGTAAACGCTGCAAATTACAAGCTTGGCGGTACTATGTAGTTGAAGTAAGAAGTACACCGAAATGCCATTCCTTCGATTTAAAAAAAACTCTCTACTTTAAACTCGCAGTTACACTTTCTGAAAATTGGCGAACACAGAAAATACACAGAATTTTCGATCATTTGTTTTCGTTATCAGTTTTAAACACGTTATATATGCTGATGTTTGCGTTGTAAGAATACATTGAAAACTCGAAGTTGAGCTAAAGAGTTTTGAATTTGTATCAAACGCTGGCACGAGCTTTTGTTGCCGAAATTAAAATTTTCCTCAACATTTAATCAAATAGACCGGATCTTCTTTTTTCGCGCACGTAATCGAACCGTTTTGGTTGCAAGTGAACAGTCGTATTGTAGTTCAGTTCCTATAATCATTAAGAAACTCAGGGTGGAGGACAATAGGTCGCCGAACTTGGAAGAGTCCTGCGCGGATTCCCTGCAGCAACGCATGTCCGCGCATGTACAAGGGTGCGTATTTGTCGCAAATGACCGCGGGGATCGCCCTTTTTTGGCGACCTATGTCCTCCACCCAGAAACTCAGTGTGTATAGGAAAGAGATATAATAAGACGCCGAGGTCTTAATTGTGCTTTCAGCATTTCGTGAAAATGCCTACATCAAGGGAGACACTGACAACGGCCTTAGTCAATATTAATCTTTTGCAAAAGGGAGAAAGGTTCCAAAAAAGAACTTACATCACTTTCAATAATGGTATTTGTGATCCTTGCGTAGTCTTGCAGAATGATCAAAGGGTCACATACTGGAGTGCTGTTCAAATACGGCAGCATTTCTTTGTAGTATGGGAATGTGCAGTTGAGCGGACCAATCAAAACCTTATGCAGAAACTCATAAACATAACAAGTTCCAATGCCTGATAAGAATACAGTAATGACTTCTCTAACATTCTGGCTGCCTATCTTTTCGTACCTTGATCTATGAGTCTCGTGGAACACTCGGGATTATTAGGCAAAAATGAAAATCGTTTTTGAGTTATTCGAAAGCGATTCCAAGTGTTTGGCGATAAATAAAATCTAGGAGAAGTTCCTATTTCTGGATGAGTGTCTCCAATATACATGATCAGTTCACCCTGAATATATTATATGAATCAAGGGGTTTCAGAACCCTCGAAAGTCTACGCTTCTCAAGGAACATTTTTTGGTACTTGTGTTGATCACCTTACATAATGAGCGTATCCCAGCAGTGTGCCTCTCACAAGGGAAGCATGTTTGGTCGAATTGGCTTTTTTAAAAGCGATGTATACCATACTGGATAGCATAAAACGCTGATTTTAAACCTGCCTTTTTCTGCGAAACATTTGTGAAGGAGGCGTTATGAGCTTTTTTGAAGCAAAAAAGAAAACTTCATTTAGGATAAAATGTGTTGCTAAAATCCCACTAGTCCTGAACAAAGCAATCAAGTGCGATACATTTTTTTACCTGAGGGTACTTATTAACTAAACTGTTTTGATAATCATCACTGCTCCACTAAAGCGCTAGAAAAAAGTCTACGACGATCTCTACCCATTTGCACATGTAATTTTTTGCTCCATCAAAAGATCATGACTTTTCGTTCATAAACGTTCCGCAGATAAGGAAGACAGAGTTAGAATCACCGTCTTATGCTCTCAAATGTTGTGTACATTTCATCCAAAAAGTCCATTTTGAATAAACATGTACCCTTGTCAGCTATATCTGGTGGAGAAAAAGCGTACTTCCTCGCAAAAATCTTTAGTTTTTCATCAATTTGACAACAGGATCAAACATCTTTACAATCTTTTTCCTCCACAAATGCCGCTCCAATGTGGCATGGCTGTGACACTAATTGTCAAACTGCAATTGCAGCTGAGAAGGTACTCCATCAGGGACTCCCAGGCTACAAGGAAGTTTCAGATTGATTTCGCCGGATGCCTTAAAAGCGAATCTGGTCAGAATCTGGCCATCGCTGGCAGCCCTCATTTCACTCAGTGTTGACGATCACCCATGTAAGGCAAGAGCATGGCCTAGTGAATTTGTTATTGACGGAAAGTTTGACGACTCGTGCAGGAAGAAGTGATAAGAAAAACCATGCACGGACTCCTGTCAGGGCACCGGGTGGCAGAAAGAACAATGTCAGGTTGCTCAAAGCTTCACTTTTATTGGAGAAAAAAACGTCCGAGATTGTCATGCGTTGGCCGTGGCGTTGCAAGGGCAGATTCACGCTCTGCACGTGCAACGCTAAGGCTTCTTCCGCAAATGTCATCTCCACTCGCTTCTCGACGTTGCGGAGCACACAAGTAGTCCAGTCCAGTCTCATAATCAAGGTTCCAGGAGCACACTCCTTTGTCATTGCTAACGTGACGACACTTTCTACACGACGACAAAATTCTCGCGTTGCGTCTAATATCTTAACTTCGAAGAAAAGATCTCCCGACAAGTGGTAAATCTCAGCCGTTTTACTCTTGAGGAAAAGAGATCGGGTATGCGATATGCCTGCTGAGTGCATTGTGCAAGCCTTCAGCAAAGATTGTCCGCTCGCGTAGCAAGGTTACTCGCGAAGTCAGCCGCAAGAATGAGCTTGGTGTACGGTTTGTTCAGTTCTAATGCTGCCACGCGGGACTTTTTGGGTGCTTGGTTTGCGACACCTCAAATTTGGGTAATTAAACTTTTATTGCTAGAAGCGACTAACCACTATAAAGCGACTACGAAGACACACAAGAAGATAATACACAAGCGATTATGAATACCAACTACTATCATGAAATTCAAGTATTCTGTGACCCTGCGATAGATTCTGTGGAACTGTGATAAAGTCTGTGACACTGTGATAAAGTCTGTGGAACTGTGAAGCTGTGAAGCAAAAGAGAAAAAGCAAGAAACAACTAATAAATGAAAAGAACTAAAACTGAAGGCAGCAACTAATGGTAAGCATGGCAGCTAACTTATATCCTCTACTTATATACGCGATAGAACATAAACAAATACCATTGCGCTCAAGAATCTACCGATGAGTCTACTGATCAGCATAAACATAACATAAGCTGTGAGAAAACTGCCGATCGGACGCGCAAGGCATCCGTTCTTTGTGCGCGGCGCAGTGGATACGAACGCGAAGAGTTCGTATACTTGGTTTCGTAAGAGCTTCAGCTGAAAACCCCTAAGGATCGTGGAAGTCTGACATGAGTACCGATTGCCTCTTCCCAGTCTTCCAGTCTTCCTGAGGACAACATCGTTCTCGTTCTTACTGATATTCAAAGCTGAGACGATGCTGCACGAATTCAACAAGTTAGGATGAAGATCGGCTGCGAGTTGAAAGAGGACTCAGTCTACAAATGCCTCTGTGATGATGAGGAAATGAAGTTGGGAGGCACATTCACTATGGAGACAACCTCCTAAGTGTATTTAACGTTCGTTGTAAATGGAGAACAGTTAAGGGAAGAACTCACAGGAGGAGAAAAAATGTGTCGCTTTTCTAAGAGGACCCACGGAACAGGTGACGTACCACGACCTTCCAGCACCTCTTCATTTCAATCGTTCTCCCAGGGCTAGCGCAGCTGAGGCGGGCCCGCATCGCTACCACTTCGAAAGCTCTACGGGCCATCCACCGAGCGCTTAAGACTCTTCTAAAAAATACCCATCACGAGCCCGCTCATCGGATTTTGCGCTACGGATATGAAGAACATCTCTTGTAATCCAATGGAATACGTTGCGAAAGCCAAGCATCGCTGGGCTGACCATGTCATTAGAAGGACACACGACAGTGGGCACTAACAATAATGGCATCGGGACGTATTCTTTGCAAAGCCAAACGTCACTAGGAAGACCACCAACGAGATGGCCAGACGTGTTCGGGGCACGGATAGACCAGAAATTAGCTGGCTACGGTTCTTGCACCTGGAACTGGTAGACGATCAACGATATCGTCCAAGAAAATCGTAGGTATCTGTAGCTAGGGACACTGACAAGTGATTGCTTCTGTATTGGGACTGCACGCAACGTGAAGACAGGGCATCACACGTACTTGTAAGTCAGTAATTAGCTTTTCTATTGTATCGAAATGAAGCAGCTGAACACGAATTGCGGCATGTACCCTAATTTAACGAGTACAAGATGCGCCCGCTTTTTTTCTTAACTCAATCAGCGTCACACTAGAAGATTTCACGACTAAAGAACCCTTTCGTGCTCTTACTTACTGATAGAAAAATTGTTTGCGAGAGGAACCATTTTGCGAGATGTAGTGGTGCGGCCGAACTGCTTGCTTGAAACATGCAAAAGGTGCATATTGTATTCTTGGAGTTAAGGTGATACCTAGTGAATATTGATGCTCTTATGTTTAATATGTCTGCAACACCTTTCTGCGATTTCTTTACAGTATATTCTCTGCTCAGAGCAACTGAACTGCAATGCAGATTACTTGTCGTGAAAGATAATCACAGATTATAGAAGTACTGTTGAAGGATCTACTCCAGGAAGTGAATCACAGATTGTGCAAGTACTATTGAAGGATCTCCTCTAAAAAATGACGAAATTTGGAATATTTGGCATACGCAAGTGATGGTGCGCTTTCACGTGCAAGTAAGAACATACCGTATTCTTTTTTCCAGCAAGTCGGCCTTTCAATTGCTTCAAAAAAACAACAAGTTTACCGGCTTCATCTGAATTTGTCTGATTCTGACCAACAGCTAGTCGAAAGCATCTGTAATCTAGACAGTTTTTCCTAACTCGTATTTGTAGTGATATAGGCGACCCCCATTGGCATAGCGGGGAGACTATGCAGAGATTTGAACACGTTGAAAAACTGTTGAAACTGCATTCTAAAGCGTTAGTCTTCGTATCTAGCTATCAAAAACTGCCACGCGCATACATTGGCAAACGTCGGCAATGCTCCGCTCGCTATACTTTGGACGACGATAATATATTATTAGGTTGGTCCGAAAGTTCTGTCCCACCATATTCAAAAAATCATAACTTCCTTCTATCATGATGTTTCTGCATGGCTAAAACTTTATTGAAAAAAGCAATTCATGCGCTTTCTGACACTCTCTTGGATGCTATCTACCAAGCTCTGAATGCAGAGATAAAATTGGGAAAAGAAAATCACTTCAAGTTCGGAATTTTTAAGCACGCCCGTTAAAAATTCCAAGACCGTGCCATAAAATCCAAAAAAGCCACTATTTTAGACTTCTTGATCCCCTCTTTTCAGCTGAGCAAAACTAGCGCTGATCGAGCTCTTCTTAGAAAAGTTACGATTTTCGAGAAAAAATGCCAAAAAATTGGTTTCTTAAGAAAATTGATTTTTTGACATTTTCTTCAAAAAATCATATCTCCCAAAAGAACAGCTCGATCAGCGCAAATTTTGCTCAGCTACAAAGAATGGGTCGAAAAGTCTAGGATAGTGGCTGTTTTGGATTTTATGGCACTGTTTGCGACTTTTTAACGGGCTTGCTTGAAAATTCCGAACTTGAGGTGATTTTCTTTTCCCAATTTTATCTCTGCATTCAGAGCTTGGTAGATAGCAGCCAAGAAAGTATCAGAAAGCGCATGAACTGCTTTTTTCAATAAAGTTTTAGCCATGCAGAAACATCATGATAGAAGGAAGTTACGATTTTTTGAAAATGGTGGGACAGAACTTTCGGACCAACCTAATATATCATTATTTTTCCATTTTTTGCTTACCTGCCTCTCAACAAAGCAAATGTTGGTACAAAAATATCGCAGCAATCCAAGGTAAGCGGTCCTAACCAGCAAGTATGAAAAAACTGAAGTAGGTATTTGTGTAAGTAGCAGGTTACATAAAACCCCACTTCTTCGCATGTAAATCCATTTTCGTTGAATACGAAGTCAAACATCTCAAGAACACTTTTATTTCCTCTCCAAACATTGTATAAACGCGTTAGTTCGGCTCTAAAATAAAGTAATAAATAAATTCTCAATAGTGAAAGTAAAACATACAAGTAGCTATCATTCCATGCTTTCATTACTCCTTGGAAGTTGTCGAATCCACTACCAGCTACCACATAACGTAGCAAATCGGTTGCCGTATTGTTATCAAGTGGACCGATTTTAGCACGTTGATATGAAATTTGGAGCGATTATAGTAGATGTCGTTACAACGATACAATAAATGCAGCAGACATATCCAAAAATTGACTTTTATCCAATAATTCACTTTGACCTACACCTACCACGAATAGGAAAAGAGAAATTTGGTGGAAGAAATTAAGGCTGGTCTAATTTCCTGGAAAAGAAGTCAAAAAGCGGGGGATCCAACCCCGCCAGAAAAAAGCCCGCGAAAGTCACATAGTTTTTTTTATCGTAGATAATGAGCAAGATGGTAAGAGACATGCAAACGCAAAGTCTACGATTGAATACTGCTATCTTTATACTTCCAAGATGGATGAGTCTTTTGGAATTCTTGACCAGTTGTCGCAGCACAAAAACTCACAATAGGGCATATATCTAGTAAGTACTGGATTTTTAGGCCTAGTTGTAATTGTAGCTCCACACCTACTACCACTGAAAAACAAAAAAATTTTCAAGGTTAAGCTTCAGTTTTTAACAAAATGGTAAGTTCTCAAAGTACCACTCGACAACTGGTTTTCTTCAGGACGTTACATTCTTTGATCTTATAGCTATCCGTATTTGTCGACTTCATTCTTCTTTCTCATTTGCTGGTTTTGGTTTGCCGCTGTTATGATTCTACTCTCCGCAAGCCCTTCTCTAAGCTTACTGCTATCAGCGGGGATAGTCGCTCAAGAAGTCCAAAATTTGGCGTTCCTTTCCCCTTTCCCCCTTCTCCGTTCGCTCAGAGCTTGTGACAAATTCATTCGCCTCGGTTCAAATTGGTCATACGAAATTTGGTTCCTCATACCATAGCTGGATTTAGAATGTTCGGGATCAGGAACTTGGAAGGGAACTCGCCTTGCAAGAAAAGGACAACCTGACCACTTCATGAGAGACAATTCTCACTTCTGTCTACGCAGAAGCACATTTTTTCTACCCGTTGTTCATTATGTATTGTGTTCTATTTTCCAAGTTTTTTGTTAAGGCGCACTTACGAGCGCATTACATAAATAATACCCAGGATTTCCTTCCCTTAATATATTTACGCAGCACAGAGTTTGTGCATCTTATATATAAAGCTGAATGTCTGTCTGTATGTATGTCTGTATGTCTGTCTGTACGTATGTGCGGAATAGAAATTTTTATTTCTGAACCGATTTGGACCAAACTTGGCACACATATACTTCGGGGCAGGGAGCGTGTCATAGGCTACTTTTCGTTATCGATCGATATCGATTTTATCGATTTTTTGCAAAATTTGAGCTACGGCGCTGGGAGTTGGCACAGGGGGGTAATCGAGCATGCTGATTACGAATATAATAATGACAGGGCCGGGCGGAGCCGGGTTTGCCAGCTAGTCTTATACATAAAGCTGAATGTCTGTTTGTCTGTCTGTATGTCTGTATGTCTGTATGTCTGTCTGTCTGTCTGTACGTATGTTCCGAATCAGGGCACGGCAGGAGGTGGCATTTCAGAATTTTGAAAACGATATCCCCTTTGAAGCCAAAATTTCTTACGTCTTCCCCTTTGACCCTATTTTTGACCCCCGTAAGTCCCTGACAAACATATACACAAATAATAGGATGGGCGGCCTCAGCGCTTATTATAGTAGTACTACCTGGCAGTGGCGGTCCCAGGATTTCGGACCGGGGGGGGGCGCGAAAAATTTTTTTTTCAAATGAAGGTGCGTGGCGTTAGCCACGCACTCCGAAAAAATTTTAGGGGTACTTCTTAAAATTTTTGCGGGTCCCCAACCCCTAAAATCTGGAAAAAGGGGGCGTGGCGTCGGTCACGCCCCCAAAAAATTTTTTTTATAAGGCTAATTTGAATTATTAAAAAATTTTAAAAATTATTTTAATTATTTACAAAAATAAACAAGTCGTTTGCACATTTTTATAACCCATATAGGTAAGTTCCAAAAATTTCGCGACCCCCCCCCCCGCCTTCCCCCTCGGACCGCCACTGCTACCTGGCTTTCCTGGTCCTGCCCGGGTCATCAAGGTTTCAGCTCAATGGGTTCATCCGCAAAGGAATCTATAAAAAACATAGGGTCAAGATTTGCACAAACTTTGATGTTTATATATCTAAGATACTACTCATTTATTAGTCAGCTGCGAGATTTTACAATTTACAATAAGCGATTGCGATTGGAGCGCGCTTTCCGAGGCCGATCATAACGCTGTGAACCCTATTTGGGGCTGTCCGAAGCGGTGCCTTGGTGGTTTTGGAAGCGGACTTGAACATATAGTAATACTCTCGACCTAGTCCACATTTATGTAAAGAAATCCGGGAAATTATGTGAAGGGAAGCAGGGAGCCATCCCAGGTGGCTCCCAGGTGGCGCGGGAGCCACCTAATTTCGAAGAACACTTACCATTTTTTAAATTCACATAAGTTTCTCATAATTTTTCATACTTTTTTTGGGGTGTGTGACGTTTCGCACGACCGTAATGCTTTCCACACAGGACCACCGCCGCGCGCGACACACCCTGCGGCGGCTTTTGCCTAAGCAAAACAAGGGGAGGAAAGATTTGCGGCGTGCATTACATGTTAAGACAAGTCAAAATCAGGGAGACGCTGGAGACCGCCCGTGCGAAAAGACCGTCTCCCCTTTTTTTGTGCTCATGGTCCTCCGACTACACAGCAAATTTAGTGCCATATCGTTACTTGTGCATTGAAAACGAGCCTATTTTGTTATTTCCCTCTTACAAGAATTGCGGTTTGAATTACCGCCTGCGGGCAGGCTAACGATCGGAGCACAGAATCTTCACATTGCTGGAATCTAAGTTCATAGGACAGTAGCATCAACAAGGAGTGATGAATAAAGAATGATATGCGTATTGTTTATCGGTAAACAAAGGGGAAGTCGTATTTTGGGGTCCGGGGCTCTGCCCCGGACCCCAAAATACGACTTCCCCTTTGCTTTTTCGGGCCAAAAACGATATCCAGCCTGTGAAAGCGCCACCCCCGCCGGGCCCTGTTCCGAATAGAAAATTCCATTTCTGAACCGATCCGGACCAAACTTGGCACACATACACTTCGGGCCCCGGCGGGTGCCATAGGCTACTTTTCGTCATCGATTTTATCGATTTTATCGATTTTTTGCAAAGTTTGAGCTACGGGGCTGGGAGTTGGTACAGGGGGGTAATCGAGCATGGGGATTCCGAATACAATATTGGTTTTCAGGATTATCGATTACTTTTATCGATTTTATCGATTTTTTGCAAAGTTTGAGCTACGGGGCTGGGAGTTGGCACAGGGGGGTAATCGAGCATGCTGATCATCCCCAAGGGGGGTGATCAGCATGCTCGATTACACCCCTGTGCCAAATTCCAGCCCCTATCAAATTTTCAAAAAATCGATAAAATCGATAAAAGTAATGGACGATCTTGAAAACTAATATTGTATTCGTAATCTGCATGCTCGATTACCCCCTGTGCAAACTCCCAGCCCCGCAGGTCAAGCTTTAAAAAAAAATCGATAAAATCGATAAAAGTAATGGACGATCCTGAAAACTAATATTGTGTTCGTAATCAGCATGCTCACTTCCCCCCCTGTGCCCACTCCTAGCCCTGTAGGTGAACTCTGCAAAAAAATTGATAAAAATCGGTAAAATCGACATCGATCGATAACGAAAAGTGGACTGTGACACCCGCCGGGGCCCGAAGTGTATGTGTGCCAAGTTTGGTCCGGATACGGCGGAGCCGGGTAAGCCAGCTAGTTTATGATAAAGTTCATTCTATCCGACCCAACACTTTCGGTGCGGAACCTTGTCAGCGGTTTCAAGCAAGTTTAACGAACGCCGAACGGAAGAAATAAAGAACGCCTAACAACCTCTACGCACAAAGCCCACTTCGAACCCAAGCCAAAATCTCTGGTTGTTATCCGAGTTAGTGGCTACATCCGCAAATTCGCCTCACTTTGTAAAGGAATTGAGAAAAAAGTTACCGTTTTGCAGAGCGGTATAGTTCAGAACATCCGCATTTTTCGAACAGAATATGAAAGCAGGAAATTCCATAGATTTTACCTATAAAAACTCAATGTCCACCTAGTCGAAAATTTGGGGGACGACGATACCGGGACGATTGTAATTTTCGTAGCGGATCGCTGCTGCACATAGTTACCCAACATTGTTTTCGTGTTATAAAACGCAACCAAACCACAGATGGCTAATATAAGCGCCCACAGCAGCTTTTCTTCTAAGCTGTATGACTGAAAAAGTTATTTGTACAGTACAAGGGAGTAGCGAAATGGCTGCCTTACCATCATTATCGCCGGGACCCCATGAATCTCGTGCATCCACAAATACTGACATCTGCAACGCTGATCAGCTGGTTGTTCGGGATCCTTAGTACTCGCGATAGTATCTGCAGCCGGGGAGACGTTTGCTCGGGGTCTAAATCTGCTACCTATCAGAATCAGACAGGTAATCACCCCAAGTCTGTGTCGACTCACGTTTCCTCCAATCTCTTGATCGAGAGCAGACATAAACCTGTGTCCGATTGAGGAACGTTGTCATCACGTCGAGTGAGACTCATAACTGGGGTAACACAATCCTGCAAAGGCTCTATACAATATTCATGCTTTGCACTGACGAACAAACACGCCCGTGCAAAAAGTCCGCTACAAGTTTGAATTTTCGTATGAAGAACTCAAGTATCCAGTTCTCTGCTCATTCGATACTTGTGAGAAATAGCTGTTTTAGTTTTTATTCACCACATACAGTATCCCAACATAATAAAACATCAAACTTATATTGTTGAATGGCAAGTACTACCCAATCTATAAAATTCCAGTGGCTTGAAAGGAAGTGGCCGATTTGTCCTCACAGCAGCTAATGATAGAGACAGTTCACGAGAGGAAAGGCTTGCGGGAGTTTAAACAAGCTGGCTAGAAGAGTCAAAAATCTCCTTCGAATAACGTCTTTGTAGCACCAGCTACTATAGTTGAAACGGAAAAATTCCACCGAACGAATAAATTTTGAATAATCGGCTTTTGAAAAATATTCGAACGAACGAATATTATTCGATTCGTAATTTTCAGATTATTCGAATTCGCATATTCGAATAATGCTACATTCCAGAATTCGAATGAACGAATATTCGAATAAATGTGGTTGGTCGAATATTCGACTATTCGAATATTCATACCTGTTCGAATATTCGACTATTCGAATAATCTAGCACCTCAAACAATGCTGGTTTCTTCTTTGTTGCGGTTTTTGCAAAAAAATTAATCGCTATATTTAATGTAAATTTGTAGCTGATAATTATATGTGTAGCAAGTTTTAGGATGACTGGGTTATTGTCGTTGGTCAGGGTTCCACCTGGGAAAAAAAGAACTTCACTCAGACATGTAGTTCAAGGTGTTCGTGGTCTTTTAAGATGGCTACTAAGCCTTACTTAGTGATCTTTAAGTCCGCATTTATTCTTTCCAACAGAGTTTCTCCCGAAGCTACCCAAAACTTTTTCCCAAAGCTAAAGATTTGAAATGGAAAACCTTTTAGATTAGGTATCTGTTTCTAATTTATTCGCAATGATCAGCATTGCGTGGGTTTTAAGATCAGCGCTGGGGAGCACGAGGAAGGCCTACAGTAATAGAATCAGTGAACCTCTGCTGTTGTCCCGAATGTTTTGTGCGTTTTTTCAAACCGCCATAAAACCACGCACAATAAAAACCTGAATGAGTTTCAACATACTTTCGATGCAGCTTTTCCTTCTCCTTTTCTTAAGGATACTTTTCGGACCACAATCTTGTCTGCTTTTTTTTATAATTGCAAAAATTCTCTACCCGCCAATTTCATCTGCTCAAAGTTAGGCCAAATTTTGTAAATTTCATTTCAAAGTTTCGGAAAGGGCTAAGTATGGATCAAATAGAGCAATTATCGAACTACAAGGTAAATTTTTTAAATTCTCTTAATTTGCTGTTTGTAGCTTCAAAGACATAATTTCTTCGAAAGTCTCGATCTTTTTAATTTTTAGCTTCAAAAAGATTATTTCTTCGGAAGTCTCGATTTTTTTTATTTTTAGCTTCAAAAACATTATTTCTTCGAAAGGTCTCGATTTTTTTTTTCGAAAGTCATGAGACACGCAACTGCAGCAAATACACGAAAGCTTTTGAAGCTTTTGCGAAGTGAAATATGATTCTTATCAAAAATTATTTACGCTACATACCACTTTTGCTTCGCTTTGAAAAAGCAGCTGTTTGGAATTTTCGATACTTTTACGTGGTAAACGTAATCAAAAACCCGCAGTTTTTATCAAACAAATATTAGGTTGTCCTAAAAGTTCTTGCGCCGGATATTCAAAAAATCATAACTTCCTTTCTTCCCAACGGTTTTTTTCAAGATTATTTTTGTAAAAAAGAGGAAACCTTTTTTCTTATAGCTGTGCCTTTGCCATGAATTAGCGTTGGTAAGTTCGAGAGTTAAAAGCGATTGAAAGAAATTAGTCAAAATCGACATTTTTGAGCTGGATCATGAAAAATCCTGGAAGTAACTTCGTTTGATAGAGAAAATTTTGCACATTACAGTGGTACCTTTTTATGAATTAAAACGAAGTAGATCGAGAGTTAGGAGCAAGTAAAGAGATTTCCTTTAGTTTTGCAATTTTTGAGCATGCTCAAAAAAGCTTGAAAACGTCACAGAAACGGCGAAAAAGTCATAAACACGGGTTTTGTGACCTTCCCTTTCTAGCTGAGCAAAAATCGTGCCAATCGGAAGCAATTTTCATTTTCGTGAAAAATGCAGACCCGAAAATCCGAATAAATAACGAAAATGAAAGTTGCTCCCGATTGGCACGATTTTCGCTCAGCTAGAAAGGGAAGGTCACAAAACCCGTGTTTATGACTTTTTCGCCGTTTCTGTGACGTTTTCAAGCTTTTTTGAGCGTGCTCAAAAATTGCAAAAGTGAAGAATTTTTTTTATTTACTTCTAACTCTCGATCTACTTCGTTTTAATTCATGAAAAAGGTACCACTGTAATGTGCAAAATTTTCTCTATCAAACGAAGTTACTTCCAGAATTTTTCATGATCCAGCTCAAAAAATGTCGATTTTGACTAATTTCTTTCAATCGCTTTTAACTCTCGAACTTACCAACGCTAATTCATGGCAAGGCACAGCTATAAAGAAAAAGGTTTCCTCTTTCATATAAAAATAATCTTGAGAAAAATCATTGGGAAGAAAGGAAGTTATGATTTTTTGAAAATCCAGCGCAAGAACTTTTAGGACAACCTAATAATTATAACGAGCTTGATAAACATGGTCTATGTAATACAAAATGGGTACAATGTAGCCAAAGGCTTGCTCTACATAACAATTATCAGCGCTCTTTGAAAACATCAGGATAAAAAATTTTAAAATGCAGTAAAGATTTGGAGTTACTTCTGAGCTGCTCAGAAAGCCGTGGCGATAACATTGCAAAAATAGATTGATCAGAGAGCAAATACAGCTGTAAAAAAAAAGAAGATAAAAATATGTATCAAATCGTATCTAACAAGGAAACGATACTTGGTGTCTGTGACCTTTTGAGATGAAATGTATACCACATTTGTCTTGCGACGCTGATTCCGAATCTGACTTCGTTTCTGCTAATCGTTTCTTTAGAAGAAGTTATGAAGAATTTTTGCGTCAATGGTCGCCTAAAAGAAATACGGTCGCGAATGCCTAACTTTCAAAAGAAGCTTGATTGAGGCAATGCAAAACTTAAAAACACAAAAGGACTCGAGACTAAACCTGCATTAACTTGCGAGGCTATCGCACTAGCCACTACACCACATCTCAGCGGCGGTTTTGACATTTCGACTACATCTCCTTTGCCGCGAAAATCCTCCATAACTTCTTTCCGAGAAACGATTAGCAAAAATGGAAGTCAGATTCTGAATCAGCGCTCCAAGACGAGTGTAATAATATACATCCCATCTCAAAAGGCCACGGACACCAAGCATCCCCTTGTAAGTTGTCCATGGTTGATGTTCTGTGAGTTTTAGTGAGCGATGAAAAAAACGGAGAAAACTTTCGGGACAACCTAATACTTCTGTGCTCATTTAAATCCAGAAGAAGAAAACGCAAGGAAATATCTGTATATTAGCTGATACTCTAATACTTGTCGGGAATTATCAGTCACTGAGTTTCATAGTTTCTGCTGTAGGAGTGAATTCTCACAGAATTGTTTTATTGTATTTTTGAGGTGCGTACTTTTGTTGTAAGGGCTCTTCCATATCTTTTACTCAAGTTCAAAATAATTATTGTTCAACCTACACGCCTGCTCGAACTATTAGGTTGTCCCGAAAGTTTTGTCGGTTTTTTCAAACCACTATAAAACCATGCACAATGAAGACTTGAACGAGCTTCAACATGCATTCGATGCAGCTTTTCCTTCTCTTTCTTGTGGACACAATTTCGAATCAAAACCCTTTATGCTTTTTCTGATAATTGCTAAAATTCTTCACTCGTCATTTTTATCTGCTCAAAGTTCGGCTAATTTTTCACAATTTCGTTTCAGGGTTCCGGAGAAGTTTAAGCATGTTTCAAATAGAGCAATTTTCGGACTATATGGCAGTATTTTTAGGTTCTCCTAATCTGCTGTCCTTAGCTCTAAAAAATTATTTCTTCGAAAGTCTCGATTTTTGGCAAAGTCATGAAAAGCGCAACTGCAGCAAAAACATGAAAGCTTTCAAAGTTTTCGCAAATTGAAACTTGTTTGTTATTAAACATTTTATGCAACATAACCAAGTTTGATTTGCTTCAAAAATCTGCGTTTTGGAATTTTCGGTACTTTCGGGTGGTAGACGTAATCAAAAAGCCGCGGTTTCTATCAAATAAATAATTATAACGGTCTTAGTAAACATGGCCCATGTAATCTAAAATGGACACATTTTAGCCAAAGGTTTTCTCTACATAATGGTTATCAATGCTCTTTGGAAAATTCAGGAAAGGTTTGGCGTTACTGATGGACTGCTCAAAACGCCATGACGATAACATTGCAAAGACAGAGTAGATCAGAGAGCAAACATAGCTATAAGAAAGAGGTTAAGAATCTGAGTCAAATGGTACCTAAGTCGTCCATGGAATGTTGTTGTGTGAGTTTTAGTGAGCGATGAAAAAACGGACAAAACTTTCGGGACCCTAATACTTCTGTGCTCATTTAAATCCAGAAGAAGAAAACGCAAGGAAATATCTGTATATTAGCTGATACTCTAATACTTGTCGGGAATTATCAGTCACTGAGTTTCATAGTTTCTGCTGTAGGAGTGAATTCTCACAGAATTGTTTTATTGTATTTTTGGGGTGCGTACTTTTGTTGTAAGGGCTCTTCCATATCTTTTACTCAGGTTCAAAATAATTATTGTTCAACCTACACGCCTGCTCGAACTATTATTCCCCACAACTTTGCAACATTTTAACACTAAGTTTCTACGCCCTCGGACTATAAGGGCAGTCGATTTAAGCATAGTGACTGATATATAGGCTGCCGCCACAGGTCATGCGGCTCAGGTCCTCACGACCGCCTTGCTCTGGCCTTGCGCTTTAACGTATCT